TTTGCGGTCCCAGGTAATTCTATTTTTAATCTTTTGAGAAGCCACCATATTTTCCCAGAGCGGCTGTACAGCTATATATTATTCTGTTTAAAATGCCTACACCACAGAGATCCACAGGGATCAGCAGATTTTTTCTGTAAAGGATCAGATAGTAAATGTTTGAAGCTTTACGACCATATGGTCTGTGTCACTACTGCTCAACTCTGCCAGTATAGCATGAAAGCAGCCATGGAGAATACATACACAAGTGGGCATGGCTATGTTCCAGTAAAACTTGATTGACAAAAAAAACAATGTTCAGGCCAAATTTGCCCTGTGGGCTACAGTTTGCCAACCCCTGCTATTCCATAATGATCTAACGAATTCCTGATCATTGGGCCTTTAGGTCATTACTGGTTTTCCTCTATTAGAAATAAAACTTCAGTGAACATCCTTGTATCTAAATCTCTTTGCATATCTCATTTCCTCAAAATAAATTCCTAAATATGTAATTACTGAGGGATACATGTGTTTTTAAATGTCTAGATATGACATTGCTGAATTTCCAAGAGGGTTGTACTAATTTGTGCACCCTCTTGCAGTGTAAGAGGATCTATTTCCCTATTTTTTTGTTCTAATACAAGGTCCCAGGGCCTCCTGTCCTGGCCTTTGGATGTACGTGATCACCTGCTGTGTGCCAGGTTCTGGCTTAGGCAGCATTACTGACAAACAGTCCCCAGCCCCTGCCCTTGAGGGGTTCATCTGGAAGATGCTCTGAGGTTCGAGTTGCTTACCTCTGTGACTAGCCTTGCTAGGGTAGTGCTGACTGATCAGATTAGGACCCCCCTCCAAACTCTGCCTGACCTTCATACACAGATAGACCCAGACACAAAGGGCTGGGTGGATGTGGATACCTGTCTTTTGGGTTGTGAGTATAGCAGGCTCAAGCCTACCACTGGCTTTCCTTTAGAAAGATGCAAATAGCAGTGCTTTTCCCCAGACATTTGCCCCATTACCTTCTGTTTGGAGTCAAGCCTGAGGCATCAAGGCTTAGTGGAAAGAGCTGGGTGTAAGTCAGGAGGCCCAAGTTCTAGTTCCAGACCTGCCATTAAGTTGTGAAGCCTTGGGGAAGTCATTTCTCTGTGCTAGGCCTCAGTTTTCCCATCTGTAAAATGAAGCAGTAGGAATGGATGTCCTCTATACTAACACTATGGATCTGTAAGTCTGTCTGTCTGCTATAGGTGACCAATCACATTACCCGAGACAGGGACAGCGGGAGGCTGAAACCTGCCCTTGGGCGCTCCTGGAGCTTTGTGCCCAGCACCCGGATTCTGCTGGACACCATCGAGGGAGCAGGAGCATCAGGAAGCCTGCGCACTGTGTGTCTGACCAAATCTCCTCGGCAGGTGAGCCCGCCCCAGGGGGATGCCAGTAATCTTGGTCCTGGTGGAGGGGGTGGTTTCCGTGCCCACAAGTGTCTTACAGAAGAATTCTTTAGATGCTGAGACCCTGCAACCAAAGGGGCTACTCACTTGTGGTGCTTAACTCCTCTTAGTTTTCCTTCCTGTTTCTTCCAGCCAACAGGTCTCCAAGAGATGGTAGACATTGGGACCTGGGGGACTCCAGAGCAGAGCCCCGAGTTACAGGGAGATCAGACGTGACTGGTGCTGTTGATTAGGAAGCAGGGAGGCAGCGAGGCCCGCCAGCTTTCCTTCCCAGGAATGCCTGCTGTTTACTGCCACCCAACACTTGCACTGCAGAAGTTCTCAGGCTGGCCAGAAGAGGCATCTCAGTGTCCTCAGCTTCACTCTCTGGACGCATATGAAGCTACAGGCGAAAGAGGATGCTGCGGTGGGAGGGCCCAGAATTCATGCTGGTGCCATGTTTCTTTCCCTTGTTTCTACCATGTATGTTTCCAGTGGGAGCCCAGTTCACCCTGGCTTGGGGCATCTGTGAAGAAGCATGTTAGTGACTGGGTAGATAACCCTGTGTGTCACCGTTGTGTCCTGTGCTCCATCCTGGCACAGAGACCAAGCCAGGAAGCCTGTAGCTTACCTTTGCTTCTCTCTCTCTCTCTCTCTTTTTTTTTTCTTTTTGGCCTCTGCTTCTCTATCTGTAAAATGGGGAGCCACTGTCCCCTTAGCTCTATCTCTGAGTTACTGGGTGGAGATAACCTTATAAATACAAAACTTCATCAACTATGTTCTGCTCTTAAAAATATAAAAAGAAAATTCCCTGAGCCCCCGGGGCCCCTTGTTTTCCCCCCAGAAGGTTTTTCAGTTTCCCCCACAAGGCCCCCAAGAAGTTATTCCTCCTTTCCTGAGTCCCAGGGATATCATTTAAGAGGAAGGGAGGATATGACCTGCTCCTGGTGAATGCAGCCACTTGTTTAATATGCATGGTGCCCTGTGGGGCCCCTCCACTGTAGAGTAGAGTAAACAGAGGTGCCAAACCATGGCCTTGCCCATAAACAGAGGAGAATTTGCACAGGAAGTAGAGCCAGCTGGAAAAATTCATGGTGACGTAAATAATACATGGCTAATCTAGTCCTTTATGCAGAACTTCATTGCTGGTGCCTCCGAGATGCAATATAATTACACCTCTCTTCCTGCCAGCTGTACCAGAGCCTAGTACCCTAGTGTATGAAATAACCCCCCTGTCTGTCACCAGCACTGTGGCCCATCTGTCTGAGAGCCATGACCCTGAGTGGGAGGGGAGGGTGATGCCAGGGAATGGGAAATAAAAGGCAAAGTAGAGAAATAATCAGGATTGTTTACTGGCTACATTTTTTAAAGGAAAAATTTTCTCTTTCTTGGTTAGAGAGCCTGTTATGTAACTAGTTAGTGTGTCTTGGCTTCAGCAGAGACTGGTCAGAGTTACCTGCAGCAGATAAGACATTTAGAGGTGATGGACAGGCAGGCATAGAAGCAAGAAGCACGGAGCATTGGGAATGACTGGCAAGCCGGCTTAAGGGTGTCAGACTGAATGAGGACAGGGTTGGCTGGGGGCCCCTCACACTTTGTTTCACGAAAGAGCCCAGGAGAAATTAATCTTCAGTATCTTTACACCATGGATAGTTGTCACATTACCGCCACCATAGTAAGAAGCAATACATTAAGCTAGCAACGGCAAATTCCTGCCACTCTGGGTACCATCTGGGCATCCTGAATCCATGGCAGACATCACCAGTCAATCACAGGCATTCTTTTTTGTGGAGTTCGAAGCGTTTTTGCAGTTTTTCTCAGTACGGCACAACAGGTAGCCACTACCAATCAGTTGGAGTTGGCATTCAAGGTGGGGCTTGATTGCCTTCTCTGCCCTGGGCCATCCCTATGTGATGAATCCAGGTGCTTTGTACCTGACTGAGGACCCTAGGACGGCAGTGTGAGAGGCCTGTAAAGATCATCTGGCCCAACTTGTCTTTTGTTTTGTTTTTAGAAACAGGGTCTCACTCTGTCACCCAGGCTGGAGTGCAGTGGTGCAATTATTAGCTTACTGTAACCTTGAACTTCTGGTCTCCAGCAATCCTCCCGCCCCAGCTTCTGAGTAGCTAGGACTACTGGCATGCGCTACCATGCCTGGCTAATTTTATTTTTTGTAGAGACGGGGTCTTGCTATGTTGCTCAGGCTGGTCTTGAACTCCTGGCATCCGCAAGTGCTGGAATTACAGCTGTGAGCCATCCTGCCCAGCCCCATCCTGTCATTTAACAGAGAAGGAACCTGAGGCTCAAGGAGAACTGACAGTCCCAGTGGCAGAACAGGGTCTGTAACCAGGACTTATGATTTTTAGACCACCTGTCCACATAGGGGATCTGACTCCCACTCAAGGCTCTGTAGGCCTCACCCAGGTGGCCGCTCTGGCCCCACGTGGGAAGGTGCTCCATCCACTGCTACTCCAGACCACCACGTGACATTCCTTGAGGCCTTGCCCCTCAGCCTGCTGCATCCTTTCGGCCTTGCTCCTAGAGCAGGGCTTTGTCTTGCCTGCCTGCTGCCACTGCACTCTCCATTCCAGCCATGCCACACTGTGCAGTCCCCTGACAGGGCTCGGGCCAGGCTGGCTCTCCTGCCCCAGTGCCTTTGGCTCCCTTTGCTATGTGTCTGCCTCTGACCACGCCTCACTGTGTCTGGGCACACCCACCCTGTCAGCCTCCCATTTTTATTGCCTTAACTGTGGTCTATATAGATGTTTATAACTTCCCTGTGCTTTCCGTTCACATGTCTGCCTATGGGCTCCCGCTTTTTTGTCAGTTTTTCTCTCCATGTTGTGGGAGCTTGGTAATTATTAAATATATATGAATGATTTAAAAACATATATTTAAAAATGAAGGACTGGGCCGGGCGTGGTGGCTCACGCCTATAATCCTAGCACTCTGGGAGGCCGAGGC